TCGGGTGGGCTGGGCGCCCCCCCACGCCTCCAGGCCCATGTTATGGTGCGTGACCTTTCTTGCCTCTGGTGCTCCCATAAGCAGTTTCCGTTTTACCTCCTAAGTGGTTCTTTGTGCCAACAAATGCCTTTACCCACCGGCACGACTGTGGCCCGAAAGCTGCTCTCGAAAAGGCGGGGAAATGTCGGCACCTCACTGCGCGTACACAGCCCTTGGCCCAGGTCGGGAGTCCGGTTTGGAGTTCAATTCTGGGAAAAGCCCCCTCTGACGGGAAGGTAATAGGATGGAGAATAAAAGGCTGATAAAAGAAGGCTTGAAGGTGCTGGAGTCAGTGTGTGGGGGCGGTGCTTTCTCCCCGCCCCGGCCCCCCCTTTTTCCCAGGCTGCAGGCTGGTGCCAGGATCACAAGGCTGCCCTTGCCCCAAAGCACTGGCTTCATCTGTGAGAGAGGCCACCTCCGGAATCCATAGAAAAACCAACCAAAAAGATCCGAGCGACAGGGCGGAGGGAGGCAGGGTCCCTTGTCCTCCTCAGGCGGGTAACAGTGACCACACACCCTCTCATACCCCCCCTCCCCTTCCCCTCCCCTCCTTCCCCCAGACAGGCCTGTGGAATGAAGGCTGCGGGCGAAGAAGGGGCGAGAGGCGGTCACCACTCGCCGAGTGTCCCATCTCCCGCCACCAGGCTCCCTGGCGGTGACGGTGAGGTTCTCACCACACACCGTCCAGTCCTATGTGAACACCAGCCACGGGGCCTGCGCTCCGTCCGCCGCGCGTTCTCGCTCTGTGCTGACCGTGTCAGGTCCTGGCTGAATTCAAGAACGAGCGTTTCACATGGACCCCGCAGTGGTTCCGGGCCATCATGAAAAGCACGCATGTGAACACGTTTTCATTAGCGTGTAAACAGGAAACACAAACAGCCCCCACCCCCGCCCTGGAGACATTCATTCTCTCGAGTGGCAATGCCAGGGTTTTTGTTTTTTCCTTAGATTTTTATTTTTACACGTTTTGTGACATTTCCCTTCGCAGGGAGCAGGTTAGCAAGGGAAGCCTTTTAGGTGAGGCCATCCTCAATGTACAGTTCAAACAAACAATATCGAAGCAGCCCGCGGGAAGGTGAGAAGCAGCCCATGAACACTATTAAGGCGAAACAACAGTAAATAGGAAAAGACCGCATCCTCACCCCAAAGCTATGCTCACTTATTTCTCCTCCAGTTATCGGTGACGAAGACCAACTCTCCCTAAACATTCCTTGAAGCCGGGGAGATGCGCGTCTCGGGGGCCTGAGGACCGTCCGCGTGAAACCAGAGGGGAGACCCTCCAATGCCACCCTCACCCCTGAGGCCATGACCTACCTGAGGGTGACGTCACCTGGCTCATTCCTCTGTGCACTCCGGACAGTTCTATGATACTGTTGGAGGAAGCGTAGTCTAGGCAACATCGTGGGAAGGAAACCAGCTTGGATTACAATATGCTGGGGTGTTTGAGATACTAGTTTTAACGTGACGTTACACCTTTAAAGATCGAAGCTTTCAGCCCAGCCGGCATAGCTCAGTGGTTGAGCTGCGACCTATGAACCTGGAGGTCATGGTTCAATTCCCAGGCAGGACTCATGCCTGGATTGTGAGCTCCATCCCCAGTAGGGGGCGTGCAGGAGGCAGCCAATCCATGATTCTCTCCTATCGATGTTTCTATCTCTCTCTCCCTCTCTAAAATCAATAAAAATATATTTTTAAAAACAAATGCCACAATAGCCTGGAGCTACCCTCTCCATAAATAAGATGCTCTATTTTCTAAACTTCTGTACAGAGAAAGCAATTCATTCAAGTCTTACAGTGGGTTTAACTCTATGACGTGTCACTTTTTCCTAAAGGTGAAATCATGTAGATTTCAAGTGAGCAATCTGCTTATCTCCTATGATTTCTTTCTGAAAAAGACTTCAGAAAGAGAAAAGTGCATTGTTTTCTTTTTTTTTTTTCCTTCCAAGGTTAGTTGACTATTTCTTAGTAGCACATGCAAAGGAAATGTCCTCTATAATATGTAACTTTTATCTGGTTGCCGGTGCGGCAGCTTACCTAAAGGTAGAGTTGCCAACAGGTGCGAGGCGTGTCTGTGACCAGGTGCAAACTGGTGCAAACCGTCCCCAGGAGCGAAAACTCCCAGGGAAAAAAAAAAGGAACTTTTAAGCCCAGCCAGTGTGGCTCAGTGGTTGAGCGTCAATCCATGAACCAGAACGTAACTGTTCAACGCCCAGGTTGCGGGCTCGATCCCCAGTAAGGGGTGTGCAGGAGGCAGCCGATCCATGATTCTCTCCCATCATGGATGTTTCTCTCCCACTCCCTCTCTGAAATCAATAAAAATATATTTAAAAAACAAAAAAAAACTTTTAAGACCACAAAGATCAACGGTATTTTTGAAAAGCCCCAACTCAGATAAAACTCCAGCGCCTTTTAAGACACGCATTCATTCATTCATTCATTCATTCGACACCTTTCCAGGCTGCAGAGAAAGTTGACATTACCTGGCGCCCTCTTTGGAGAAATTAAAAAGATGGGGGAGGTTTCAGCGAAGAGTGGGAACTTCACACACACACACACACACCCGTTTACAATGAGCCAAGGCCTCTGCGTGTTGGTACATTACAAAACCAAATACCCTCGAACACAAAGACGTCATCAAAACCAGTGTCCATCATCCTCGTCCGCCTGACTGTCTAGATAGAGGACGGCCACTTTCTTCTCGTCCGAGACCACCGACCTCTGGTCCACCATCCTCTGCAGCTGCACCGTCCTGTCGAACACGGCCTGCTCCCGGGAGCCCACGCGGGCAGCCTGGTCCTCCTCACGGCCGGCCTCCCTCCAGGTGCTGCTGTGAGCATCCCCTTCCGTCCCTGTGGCGAAGAGGACCGTGGTCTCTCGGGCCCAGCGGGGGGCCGCCTCCGTGGGGCTCACGTCCATCTGAAAGGTAAACGCAGTTCCTTTGGGCCCCGGTACCGCCTGCCTTGTGTCCTGCTGCCTGCGGACTCGCCTAGCCCCTCCGGGAAGCCCACGGAACCAGCCAGGGCCCATGTTTTGGAAATGAGCCCACAGAAGGCAGCATGCTCAGGGGTTTGGGTTTCTGCAAGACTTCGGTGCCTAAAGGGTCTTCTCGTGCCCAGCTGGCGGTGGCTCAGTGGGTGAGCGTCGACCTGTGAACCAGGAGGTCACGGTTCGATTCCTAGTCAGGGCGCATGCCCGGGTTGCGGGCTTGATTCTCAGTGTGGGGAATGCAGGAGGCAGCCGATCCATGGTTCTCTCTCATCATGGATGTTTCTGTCTCTCCCTTTCCCTTCCTCTCTGAAATTGGTTAAAAATAGATTTTTAAAAAGTAATAATAGCCGAACCAGTTTGGCTCAGTGGATAGTTTAAAAAAAGTAATAATCATCACCAACCTCCCCTGCCCCAGAAACAGGGCCTTGTAAACTTCTTTCCCTTTGAGCATGAAACTGCTTGGAGTCACATGCCTGGTGGCTCCCTGACCTGTGTCGAG